TTCTCTAGACAACCTGGCTGACGACAGGCTCTATTTGGGCACTTCCTCCTGCACTGCAGTGGTCCGTTGCCTCCTGGCAGAGAGCCTGGGTGATGGTAGGGCTTACCATATTCATTTCCCTTTTTCAGGGATTATAATCCTGCACGGCGTGTGTCTGAAAATGGCTTCTTCTTCTCCTTTGTAATGTGTTCTAGTTATTTACAGAGGTAGGATTGTTCTGGATCTGTCTACATCTCATGCCCAGAAGTGAACATTGAATCATTCTAAAGTGAGTTTTAATGCTAACATCTTTCTAAACCTCAGGAGCTTTCGAGCATTATTTTTTCCTAACATTTAGACATTGCTTCCCATTTTTCCAGCCTGGCATAGATGCTCATGTGTTCCGTCGATGGTGTCTTCGGAACTATCATCTAGTTGTCAGTGTAAAGAAAGCAGTACACATTTCAGATTATAAACAAGCTAGAAGGAAATTATTTAGAATGATTCCTTCATTTCATAAATCAGGAAATTAGTATTTTCCAGAATGAAAAAGTTCCTCCACCCTGTGGGATGGGCAGTTTAAATATAAAATTGATACTTGATATTTCATTAGAAACACAAAGGAATCTGTACTAGTGGGTGATGATGCAAATGAACTATTTGGTCCAGTGTTTTAAATATAAATTCTGTAATTTTAGAGTATAAATTTGTATAGTATGTCAAACATAGTCTATATTGGGGATCAGCACCCTTTCTGTGTTAGTGACCAGAGAGTGTTTATTTTAGGACTTGTGGGCCATACCCTGCCTGGCTGCTTACCTCACTCACCATTGTAGCACAAAGGGGCCAGGGACACTGGAGGAGCACACACGCTAACTGGTGTAATGAAACTTCATCTGTGGACAATGAAATTTTAATTTGATGTAATTGTGATATGCCACAAAATACTCTCCTTCCTCTGCTTTCCCCCCCCAACGATTTAAATGTATAACTATTTTTATCTCACAAGCCATACATACATAAACAGGTGGTCAGCTAGATTTGGCTTATGGGCCATCATTGGAGAAATCCAGCTCTGTATGATTAAAACAGCTCCCCAATAAGCTGTAGGATTCTTAATGAACAGTTGTTTTCCTCTCTAAGTGGTATTTTTATTTAAACTATTCCCTACCGTTTTAAAGAAAAGTAATAAGATCCTACAATTCTAAGATTGTAAGGCTTTGAGAATTTATATAATAGCACCATTTGCTTAGCCAATTGGGGAACTGAAGCTAATATCTAATTTATTTTACTCTGAAACCGGTATTTTCTTTAAAAAAATAACACAAGACTACGTTCCTTTCTTCCTTTTTTGTTTCAATATCCCTATCTTATTAGCATGTATTCCTAAAATAACACATATGTCTGCATACTGAATTTAGGGGGCTTTGTAATGAAGTTGGCTTGATATATTCACAAATAGAACATCCTCCCCCTTGATATCATTGTTACTTCACATTTGCACCATCTAGAAGATGCTGGGAGCTCCCCTGTCCACGTGCTTGAGACGAAAGCCGCTTTTCTCCATTACCGTGGCTTCTGTACTCGTTCACATAACCCTGTTAGCCACTTGGCACATGAAATATGTCTAAACTGTTGTAGCTTCACATGCTGATCGGTCTTATTGTATTATACTCATAACTTTTTTCTAATATCTCATCTGAAGCACTGTTAATATATACAACTTATGTATGGTATGTCTATGTAGCTAATTTAAGCCACATCTCAAAAGAATGACTTTAGAATTCATAGTCTATAATCAAACGTGTAGTTTACTTCCTTCTTC